AGTTTATTAATTATTACAAGTGTATAATGTATGTTTTTATATATATAAAGTACAAGTAAATGAATATAGTGATATGAAAAATGATACATTCCCAACCTAATGTATTACTAGCTTGACAACACAAGTGGATGTTTCCACTTGTGTATTTTTTTTTTATTTTTTATTTATGTGAATGTTTCTACTTGTGTTGTCAACCTAGTTGTACACTAGATTGACAATGTAGCATTTCTCACAATGATATAGGGGTTGTTTGGAAACACTTATTGAGAAGCCCATTTTAAGATGGACTTTTTGAAAAGTGACTTCAAGAAGTGCCTAATATAAACTTCTTTGAAATGTACTTTTTGTGGGAGTTACATTTTTAAAAGTCCATTTTGTTATTTACACCAAACATCTTTTTATATAAGAAATAGACTTTTATAGTCAAAAGTCCATTACAAAAGTGCTTCCAAACATACACATAGGGTTTGTTTGGGAACACTTGTTCTACAAAAGTCCATCTTAAAAATGGACTTTTCATTAAGTGCATTTAAAAAAGTCCTTACACAACTTTCATAAATGTTTGGTGAATCTCATTTTAAATAAGTGCTTTAGTTACTAAATAATAATAGTTTTTACACGTAAACGTTTCATACCTACTACATATGGTTTAATATTATATTATAGTGATCTTAGACATATATATTATCTATGAACCATTTAAATATATTGATAATTAAGTTTTTCATTTTTTTTTATAAATACATACAAACGTATTTGTAAACAAACTTCTATTAACCTGTTCTTTAAACAAAAAAAAAAAATTAAAAATAAAAAATAAAATCCTGTTCTTTATGCTGTCGTGAGACCCAAGCAGTTAGTACTCAATTATCCAACAAATTGAGCAAAGTTGGATATAAATTCTTGACAAGTTGCAAGCAATTCCCAAATAAAAAATGCAGACACCTCTTTTCTCCCTTTAGTGCATATTTCCTTGCCCAACAATTTGATTAAAAAATTGAGTACAGATTATCCAACATATGCATTTGTGAAGCTATGACATACCTTTAGATCTGTCCACGTTCGGAGTATATTTGACTGAAGAAGATAGATAAAACACAGTTCTTTATAGCTGGAATAAAGAAATGAGAAAATTTGGGGGGAAGGCGGAAAAAAAAATGTGGTAATAATTGTGAAATAGGTTTCAGACGTATCTAATTCCCACTTCTCCAAAATGACTTGGAAGTGACTTTTCTCAAAAGTGCATTCAATATAAATCACCAAACACCCTAAAATCATTCAGATGGGCTTTTAAGTCAAGAAGCCCATTTCAAAAGTGTTTCCAAATACACACATAGTCTTTATTTACAGTTTTGCTATGGAATCATCCAAACTTATTCACTAATAGTGTATTGACATGTGTCCTGCAATAAATACAGGCACGGAGTTCTAGCGGGTCCAGGGAGGGGCACTGGACCCCCCACAACTTTTAAAAAAATCCAAGGGTATTTTAATAAATTTACTATAATATAAAAAAATAAAAAAAATATATTCGATGAGGCCCGGATGTCGGATGAGAACCTGCAACATATNACATCATCCCTGATCTCGCACTGTCACACATCGTCCATCCGGCTTCAGTCATCACATCCGATTTGGGCCTTTGACAAATTAATTTGTTGAGTAAGTATTTTTTTTTTATATAATTCTTTACTTTCAATGGAGGATGTCAATGAAAGTTTTGAATGTGATGTATTTTGGGGAAGAAATAGAAGATTGAATTTTTATTTATTTTCTTTATAGCGAGATTTGTGTGTTTGAAATGTGTGTTTTAATGTGGAATTTGATTTTTGTGGATCATAATTCATTATCCCTAATTTTTGTCCAAGGGTTTGACCTAGGAAAGCATTACTTGTATTTTTCAATTTGATTATTGATGCATAAATTGATGAAATCTATTATGTATATATGTATATTAAGGCATGGGATTTGTTGAGAATGGGTAATCCAAAGTAAGGTATTAAAAATTATTGTCATATTTTCTCTTTGGATATTAGTATATTTTTTATTTAATCTTTCTCTTGGAGACAATGGGTAATTGTTTGCTATACAAGTTTTTTTTTTGTTCAAAAACTTATTTGTGTTTAATTGTTTCCTTCGTTCAGTCGGATTGCTAATTCATACGAGTATTGATTGTTCATGTTAGAGTGTTTTTTCTTGAAAGGTATTTGAAGGTGAATTTGTTTAGTGTGTATTTGAATTTGAATATTTGATTGTTGAATTATTTTAGCTCTCACAAATATTTTATCACATATGCTAATTTTTATTTATTTATTTTAAAATTTAGATCATGGAACGATTTTATAAGAGAGTGCCATAGAGTGTTGAAACATTATCCTCATCAATTAAAGCTCCTACACAGCCGCATTATCCCCACCATCCAATACGTCTCCTATTTATGGTGATTCTCAAGTTCCATCATCAAATCAAGATAATTCTGAGTTTAATTTGAAAAATCTTCTAAGCGATCCAGGACTACGACCTAACATAACGAGCTATCCGCCAAAGTTGATAGAACAACTTCGTAGAGCTTACTTATTAAAAGGTCCATGTCAACCAAGTGAGCATGATTTTCCTCACACTTTAGATGGAAGTCGAAAACGTAAATTTGTTCCATCTTGGTTTGATGAATTCAAGGATTGGTTGGAGTATTGGCATTGTGAAAGATGCTGCATACTGTTTATATTGTTATCTCTTTTCTATGGGGAGCAATGAAAGAGGCCACGATGCTTTTGTATCGGGAGGATTTAATAATTAGAAGAAGAAGGAAAGATTAAGAGATCATGTTGGGAATCATAACAGTGACCATCATAAATGTAGAGTTGCTTGTCAAGATTTGATGAATCATGCTCAACATATTGATGTGTCTATTTCAAAAGCAACAAATCAATCTAAAATTTATTATCTTTGTAGATTGAATGCATCGATTGTTTGCTTGCGTTACCTCATTATGCAAGGTCTACCTTTTCGAGGGAATGATGAGTCATATGAATCATTAAATCAAGGAAACTTTGTTGAACTTCCAAAAGTTCTTGATTCATGTAATGAGGAAATACACAATGTTGTGTTGGGTAATGCTCCTGAAAACCATAAACTTACTTCTCCTATGATTCAAAAAGATATAATTAGTGAGGCATCAATTGAGACAACAAATGCTATTATTGAAGATCTTGGGCATGATTTTTTCTCCATTTTAGTGGATGAGTGTCGGGATATCTCAGTGAAAGGACAAATGGGTGTTGTCATATGTTATGTAAATAACAGTGGATGTGTTATTGAACGCTTTCTTGGTTTGGTGCATGTTAGTGATACGACCGCAACTTCACTCTAGTAAGTTATTTGATCTTTGTTCTCTACTAGTGGCTTGAGCATCTCTCGTTTAAGAGGACAATGTTATGATGGAGCGAGCAATATGAAAGGTGAGTTCAATGGACTAAAAAGTTTGATATTAAAGAAAAATTCTAGCGATTACTATGTCCATTGTTTCGCTCACCAACTCCAACTCACACTCGTTTCTGTTGCTAAAAAGCATACAAATGTCAGTTCTTTTTTCAATACTGTTACTTTTATGCTTAGAGAAAAGCAAATGGAGAAAGTAATTGAGGGGTTGCAAGCAATGAGATAGTGACTGGAAAAGGATTAAATCAAGAGATGACTTTGAAGCGACCGGGAGACACTCGTTGGAGTTCGCATTATGGTACTCTCATAAACTTGGTGCATTTATTTTCATCTACTATTGATGTTCTTGAGTATATTGGGGAAAGAGGAAATGATGATCCACAAAGGGCCGAAGCCATTGATTTGTTAGAGATTGTGAATATGTTTAACTTCATCTTTGCTTTACATTTTATGATGAAAATTTTGGGAGTCATACATGAGTTATCTCAAGTTCTTCAAAGAAGGGATCAAGATATTGTTAATGCAATGAAACTTGTTCAAGTTGCTAAAGTTCGCATGCAAGCGATCAGAGCTAATGGTTGGGATGATTTACTTGTTGAAGTTTTTAACTTTTGTGGCAAACATGACATAGTTATATTGGACATGGAAGGTGTGTATGCAGCTCGAGGAAGACCGAGGCGCAATGTTGAAAAGATGACTAATCTTCACCATTACCGAGTTGAGTTGTTTATTCTGTGATTGATATGCTAGCTCAAGAGCTTAACAATCGGTTTGATGAAGTAAACACAAAGCTACTCTTGTCAATTGTATGCTTTGGTCCGAGAGACTCATTTTCTGCGTTTGATAGAAGGAAATTGCTTCGTGTTGCAGAGTTTTATCCATCAGAGTTTTCTACAGTTGCTTTACGTGAACTTGATAATCAACTCAAGAATTTCATTTTTGATATGCACTTAGATGAAAACTTCTCGAATGTAGCCAATATTGGGGATCTTTTTCAAAAGATGGTGTCTAAAAGAAAACATGATGTTTTTTCATTGGTTTACTTGGTTGTTGTTGATTTTACCGGTTGCCACTGCTACAGTGCAAAGAGATTTTTCAGCAATAAAAATCATCAAAAGTACACTACGCAACTGAAAGGGCGACGAGCTTTTGAATGATTGTTTAGTATCGTACATGGAGAAAGATATATTTCGGAACGTGAGCAATGAGGCTATCATGCAACGATTTCAAAATATGAAAAATTGAAGAGAAATGTTGTGATCTCTCAATGTTATCGTAAGTTATTTTCTTGAATACTCGGACATATGTATTATGTGTATTTAATCGGTACTTGTATTGATTTATTTATTTTTACACTTGATGTATTTCTTGTTTGTTATTATTAATTGGATCCCCCTCGATAAAATTCCTGGATCCGTCACTGAATAAATACACTTTGGGACAGGTGTCAATACATTAAATGGTGAATGACTCCATAAGAAAATCATCTGATGATTCTATAGAATTTTTGCTTTACACATCTCTACCTTTCTTGTTCTCTCTCTCATTTTTCTCCACATATGTTAAAACAATAACCTCTTAACGGTCAAATAGAGCCAAGTGATTGACTCCTTCAGACCCGCTCTAATCTCCTTGCCCGTGAGGTTTGGAACGGAACTGGGTGGAACATCCCTCTCCTTCAGATCCTTCTTCCTTCCCACGTGATTGACTCTATTACCGTCTTCCCCACCCACCGCCCCTCCTTCCCTCCCATTTGGAAACTCTCCTCTAACGGTTCTTTCTCCTTTAAAAGTGCCTGGCAAGCAATCCGAACCCCTCATTCCCCCAAACCTATCTTTTGGCACATTTGGAGTTCCCTTATCACCCCACCATCTCCACCTTCATGGTCCGCCTCCTTTCTTTTTGGATCTCCACCCCAGACGGCCTATCCCGGAGGGGAATCAATGCTGCCATCTCTTGCTTCTGTTGTGGAGATACATAATCTATCCCCCACCTCTTTCTCCTAGGCCAAGTTGCATCAGCAGTGTGGGCCAATTTCTACTCTCTTGCTGTTATCCCCCAAATTTCTTCCGACAGCATACAAACCACTCTCTTTCACTGGTTCAGCTTTGGGACTGACAAGTCCCACCTTTTCCACCTCATTCCTATTCTTATCCTATGGTACCTCTGGTGCTCTCGTAAGGACAAGAGAGTTAATCAGATCCCCTTCACTGCTCAATGGGTCTATGATTGAGTTTGGAAACACCTCCAACTCCTCGCCAACTCTTCGCTCCTTGAGGCGTCCTCCAGTTCCCGAGCCCCTCTCTTAAGTCACCTTCTCTCTCCCTCTTTTCGGCCCTCTCGTCGCCAGAAACGCCTCCATATGCAGGTTATCAAATGGACCACTCCTCCCGTTGGCACTCTAAAGATCAATACAGACGGCACCTCAAAGGGTAACCCCGGAGAGGCCGGAGCAGGTGGCCTTGCCAGAGATCATACAAGTAGACCCATTTTCGCTTTTCATGAGCATCTCGGAGTTCAGACTAGCACCGTAGCAGAGCTTCATGCCGTTTGGAGAGCCTTAACTCTATGCCGCGAGTTGACATTTGAACAAATCTGGTTTGAGCTTGACTCTGAGGTTGTTATATCCCTTCTAGCCGCCTCGACCCCCGGAGGTAACTGGCGGGAAAGAGACTTCATTCAGAAGATCAAAGCTCTAACGGACACCCTTGACGTTAGCTTATCCCATACCTACCGTGAGGGGAACAGTGCCGCGACTACCTCGCAGGTTCAGCCTGCCGAGCCCGTGATTTTGTGCTATATGACGTCGCAGACTTACCTGGACCCCTTAGGGGTATCATCAGGATGGACTTAGAGTATCCCAACATCAGATGCCCTCATGACGACAGCAGACCACATGACTGACGCCTAGATTTTTAGCCAGCGAGAGATTCCATCTCCCTCCTTAGCTGGGCCGACTGCACCTTCTCTGTTTGGTCCTTCTTCTCATTTATTTGGGCCCCTCGTGTTGGAGGCCCCAATTTTCTCTTGAGTCGACCGTTGTATATAGTTGAGTGGCTAATTCGGTAAAAGGGCAAAACATCAGGGAGATCTCACAAAATCACACTAATTAAAGGAGCAAAATGTTTATCCCAAAAAGTTGGATTTCTATTTTCTCACCGTCCCACCATTACCATTCCTTTATTCAGCTTGCTGTTTGGTGAAGTCGCAACTCACAAGGCTCACAGCCGGCCTGCATAAACCCTAATCAAGCGATTACCCCCAAAACCCTATACAACCATTGTTACCCCCCACAATGAAGAAAAGACCCCGAGAGCCCATGGCCCTGGCCCCCGCCCTCGCATCCGTCACCGGGCCTGCCCTAATCAAGCATCTGGCCTCGTGCAACACCACCGTCAGATCTCAAGCTTTGCGCCTCCTCCAGTCGTGGCTCGTCTCCCAAACGGAGCAGCTTTCCGACCCCGACATCAAGAAGCTGTGGAAGGGTCTCTTTTACTGCCTCTGGCACGCCGACAACACCCCTAATCAGGCAGCCCTGATCGATCGCCTCACAACGCTGTTTCTATCAATCCAGCCCTCGCTTTCTTTGGAATTCTTCCGCGGGTTTCTTCTCACTCTGAGGAGGGAGTGGCCTGGGATCGACCGGCTGAGGTTGGACAAGTTTTACCTGTTGATACGGCGGTTCATGAGGGCGCTTTTTGAGCTCATGAGGTTAAGAAAGTGGGATGTCGGTGTTTTGAGGGATTTTTTTGGGGTTCTGGAGAGTGACGGGTTCCTGGCGGAGGACAAGCTGCGTGGGAATGGGGTGAATTATCATGTGGCGTCTGTTTTTCTGGATGAGCTGAAGGGCGTTGGTTTTCCAGTGAGGAAGGAGGTGGTTGATGTGGTTTTCGGACCATTTTTTGCAGTTGTGAAGAGGGGCAAGGACCGAATCTTTTTGGGGAAGGTGAAGAGCTGCCTGTTTGATGAGCTTCTTAGAATCGGGGAGGAAATTTTGACCAAGAAGAAAATGGGTATGGATTTTGGTGATAATGATGGGGATGTGTTGTTAGGGTTGGTTGCTTTGAAAATGGGTTTTTCGGAGAGGTTTTACGAGGCTGGTTCGTCTGCGGATTGCATTCAGGGGAATAGGAAGGTGGCATTGGGGTTGCACGAGGAGTTCCTTAAGTTGGAGAAAGATTTGAAATCGTCTGGAGTTGAAATTTGTATGCCTGAGTATAATAATGAAGATAAAGGAGGTGGTGGTGGTGAAGTACCTCAGTTGAACCCCATTGATATTGATGCTGCTAAGGGTAATGTGGAATTGAATACCTGGGAAGTGGCTAAGGAAATTATTAAAAAGAAGAGGAACCAGAAGGCGAAAAAGGGAACGTATGGTGATGAGGAGAAGAAAATGAAAAAGAAGAGAAAAGTTGATAATGCAGTTCCTGAAATTAACTCCACAGTCAAGGGAAATAATGATTGTACCAGCATAAGTGGCGGTGAGAATCTGAGACTCGATACTGATCCTGGGAATGAAGTAATCAATGATGTCGAGAATGATGGAAGTGAGCCGGCTTTGAATGAGACAATAATTTTGAACCTTCAGAAGCAATTCGAAAAAGTTGCTGCCGAAATGGATTCCAATGTGGACGAGGATTCAGATATCTTTGGAACTCAAATGGTTCCCCTGAAATGTAGCAAGAGGAAGAGAACGAAAGTCGTGGAGAGACGTGAGTCGAGCAATACAAAAACGAGCGAGAATGGAGATAATGAAGCTGATGTTGCTGGAAAGAGTATGGAGAAGAAGAATTCAAAGAAGGTTAGATTTTCCATGAAAAATAATTTGTTCTGGAAGCCACAGACTCCTCTGCCGCCCGAGAGCCTTAGACTGCCGCCCTCTATTACTCCACGTGGCAGTGCATTGAAGAAGGGGGTCCCACCTGGTCCCATTATAGAGATGCCCTCTGTCTTGAAAAAGGCAAAAAAGAAGAAAGTTCAGAATAGAGTAAAGAGGGTCGTGCCCGTGATGAGGAGGAAGAGAAAGATTCAAAAACGGTCTGCTTGATTGCATTTTCATATTGCAAAGTTATGTTCTTCGGTATTTTCTTTTTTTTTTTTTTGTTTTTTTTGCTTTATTTTATGTGCCGGCTTTTTAAATATTCGCTTCTCTTGGCGACTTTAATGGAGTGATGTGAATTGTCTGGAAGTTATACAGAAATATGGCTGCCGTGTATTCAGATCTCGAAATACACCATACTTTATGACCCATTTATCTTGCAGTAACCTACGCTAGTGTTATAAGAATAGATCTTTTGGTACAATTTGACAATGTATTTAGGTTTTTTCTTGCAGTAACATTCATAGGTGTTGTAAGAGCTCAGGAGAGTGCGAAGTTGCTGTTTAGGCTATTTATCTTGAAAACTTTGAGTTGGTTATCCTTCATTTTTTCTAGCATGGGACATATGAATTTCAATGACATGCTGATGATTTAGATAGTTTCGATTTGGTTGGTTGGTTTTTGACGTATCCTTGTTGGTGTCATGCATGTACTCAAGGTTGGATTCATAACTGGTGGTTACTTACATGCTTCCTTAATGTGAAATACATATTTTCTGAAGCTAGCTGTTCTTTGGTTTGTGTAGTAGTAAACAAAGTGTTGTGTATGAATGTGCATTTGTATGAAGATTAATCCATGGTAGGGAGTTCAAGCGGAGCCTGAAATAGGTTTATGTAGCTTCTATCGGGCCTTTTCCTTCAATCTAGTAAAATCTTAGTCAGGCTGAGCTATGCTGCATATCTCGGCTCATGAAAGGAAAAGAATTTCTCGTATGAGATAAGTTGATGAAAGAGATGCAGATGTATGGTATATTGTTTTTTCTTTTTATTTTCCTTTTTTCCTGGCTAAGGAAATATGTAATGTGTAAGGTCCATCATATAATCATTGCCCTTGTTTCTCAGCTGATTCCTTAAACACGTTAAACAATTTGGAGAATCATGGACTTTGGTTTCAAATCTGTTTCAAATCAGACGTTTTTCCATTTCTTCTTTAATTCACACGATTTGTTTATAGACCCTACGGTACATATATAGTAGATAGTAATACATCAATAGCATAATAGTTCAATTCAATTGGCCTCAAAAGATAGAAAATATTATTGGTGTCCGTATGTTAGTTTAATTCAAGTATTTGTTATGTCAAGTTTCTTAGGAAAATCTATTACTTCCAACGTGTTAATTCATGATTTTGACTTTTACATTTTAAACTTAAAAAAATGCAATCTATACTATATCATTATTGTTAGCTTGGTGGTTTTGTTTGCATTAGTTCATGCTTAAGAATCTGAATGCAATACCAAGTACTTTCAGGAGTTTATGAGGCAGAAGTGAGTTTAAGTCGTATATCCATCGTATCGAGGATAGCAGGTCTTCCCTGACTCAGGAGTCCCAGATACGGGAGTCGACTGTGACATACTTCCAATCTCTCTTCACCTCAGATCGGGACTTGCTTACGCCCCCCAACGCTTTCTTTTTCTACACCATCCCGCAGCCGGTCGACCTTGTCGACCTCTGCGACCTTCCGAATAAGGAGGAGGTTAGGGCGGCTATTTTTGGGATTGATCCCAATAGTGTTTCTGGCCCGGATAGTTACTCGTCTCTCTTCTTTCAGGCATGCTGGGAGATTGTTGAGACCGACGTTGAGGAAGCTGTGGTGGCTTTCTTCTCTGGTCACCAGATGTCGGAGTCCTTCATAACAACCTCTATTGTTTTGATACCTAAGAGACCTGGCCCGAGCTCCTGGCCCGATTATAGACTTATCAACCTTTGTAATGTGACCAACAAACTAGAGTGATTTCATAAAGGATTTAGTCATCAGTGGTAACATCCTTTTGGCCTAGGAGATGATCCACGACATCTCCCATGCGAACCAGTTATGATCTCCGAGCCTTGTGCTGAAGCTAGATATGGCTAAGGTAGATGATAGGGTCGAGTGGCCGTTTCTCAAGGAGGCTCTGTTTCGAATGGGCTTCCCTGAGTGTTGGATTAGTTTTGTGGAGGCATGCATGGAGCACTGCACATTCTCGGTTTTAATTAACGGTAGCCCCACTGACCTCTTCCCTTCCGCTAGTGATCTTCGGCAGGGGACCCTTATCCCCCTCCCTTTTTGTCCTAGCAACGGACTACCTGTCTCGTTGCCTTGACGGCTTCATTCGCGATTTCCCGAGGATGACCTATAGCACACGTGGCTATTGTCCCCCCATCGCGCACATTTCTTATAAGGATGACATTATTATCATCACTGGTGTGGATAATAATGGACTGATCGAGCTCATGCGCCTCCTGAAGCACTATAGCTCGGTTTTCGGTCAGCTTGTCAGTGTGCAGAAGAGCACCTTCGCCCTTGATCATCACATTTCGGACCAGTGGGCCCATTGGGTGTACGAGCACACTGGTTTTGCACGTGGTGACCTCTCCATCACCTATCTTAGCCCCCTTGTACAAGTGTCATCTCTCGCATGAGCTCTTTACATACGCCAGGTAGAGGATGATTGACCGGATCTCCAGCTGGTCTCACAACACCTCTCTTGGGGGTCGGCTTGCTCTGATCAAGGGCATTCTCAGCACCCTCCCGCTTCACCTTCTTACGGTCCTCGACCCCCACCAGTCTACGATTCACGAGCTAGATCAGATCTTGGCTCGTTATTTTTAGGGGCATGGGGAGGGCTCCCGGAGAGGGAGATAGGTCCACTCGGTGAAGTGGGACTCCGTCTCCCGCCCCTTTCTCTGAGGGGGGTCTCGGGATCTGGCGCTTTTTTTGATGTCGTCACTGCATTCTCTTGCAAGATGTGGCGTAGCTTTAGGGAGGGTAAGTCACTTTGGACCCAGTATCTTCGTCAGAAGTGCTGTCCTAGAGGAGCTGCGCACCCCTGTAGGGTGACGGCCACCGCCCGCGATTACAGACAGTGGAAGCGGCTCACCATGGTTGGTAGACGTTCTCAGAAGCACATATTTTGGACTCTAGGTGAGGGTGACATTAACTTTTGGGATGAGTGGTGGTTTGGTGAGGGTTCCCTTTCGAGCACTAGACAGGTCACCCGCCTTCCCTTTCTGCAGGTGAAGGACCTGTGGACGGAGGGGGTATGAGATAGGGATAGGCTAGAGAGAATTCTGGGTACTGGAGCAGGTTTTAGTGATCAGGTGATAGATCAGATCCAGCAGATACCCATCTCGGAGGACGGTTTGGACTGTATAAGGTGGAGACTTATATCTTCGGGTGCATTCTATACGACCCCGGCTTGGGGGGAAGTGACCGGCCATCTTGACCGACCTACTTATCCCGACCATCTCTGTTTTCCTATGGTGCCTTCTTCTGCGCCGCCTACCAATTGATACTATGATGCAGGCGAGGGGGTTCTCCTTCCCCTCACGTTGTTATTATTGTGCTGAGACCGACAATTTTCAGACTGATACCTTTACCCATTTGTTTCTTAAGAATGAGACTGTGAGGAGAGTGTAAGAGCATTATTCCAGTTACACCCATATACCCCTACCCACCACAGATAACTTCTTTGAGCTTCAGAGTTTTTTCACACAGAGCACACACGATAGACACTTGGGCTTCCTTATTCCTTATCTGATCATTTGGTCCATCTGGACATAAAGGAATAATGTGAAGCATAGTGATATTTTTTTTTTGTGTTCCCATATTATTTTGCAGGTTGACAGACATCTATCTCTCCTCACCGCTCTGGGCAGACTCACGCCGAAAGACTGGACATGTTGCACGCCACTTCATCGCTTTGCACCATTTCTATTGCCGCCTGTCCAGCACCCACGCCCCAGAGCTGTTGTTTGGCTGAGACCCGAGCCTCCTTGGGTTAAGCTAAACACTGACGGATCCTTTGACCGACTTACCGGAGCCGCTGGAGGTAGGGGCCTGATTAGGGACCATCGCGGTGCTCTTATTGCTGCTTTCCATGCCCCTCTTCGGGCCTCTTCGAGCTATGACGCGGAGGTTCAGGCGCTTCAGATCGGTCTACAGATTGTCGCTTGGATCTCCACTGACATTTGGATAGAGTTAGACGCTGCCGCTGTCATTGCTCTTTTGACCTTTGGTCATCAGGGCATGTGATAGATTCAACTTCCTCTCATGCGTATTAGAACCAAAACTTCGGTCGATTCGCTTTCGGATCTCGCACATCTTCCGCCAGGGGAACCGACCTACTGACTTCCTCGCTGGCATCGGGTCCTCCACCCCCCAGAGGCGCATTCTTTATCCTGACGATATTCCTCTCCGCCTCCGTACCCTTACTCTTATACTGATGGACCAGATGGGATACCCTTCATTCAGATTTGTGTAGCCGGCCCAACCTTTTGGTGCATCTGCTCTCCCACGATGCTGACCTTTCGTCTGGACTCTTCCCGGACCAGGACCTGATATTTTTGTGTTACTTGCCGCTGTTGCCAGCTTTTTCTTGTTTCTGTTTTTGTTTTCATTTGGCTTGATGTATATCAGACATTGGACTTGTAGACTTGTGACTTTTCAGCTCATATAGGGCCTTTTTATATACAAGTTGGAGGTCCGGCCTTAATCCCTACCCCACTCTTTTCGGTTGTTGTTTTGTTAAAAAAAATAAAAATGAATCTACATGCTTGGTTTAGTGTTTTGGTGTTTTAGCTCGCTTTTTTCTTTTAATCGCACTTTACTTAAGGCGGCATGGGTTTCTTTTTTGTTTCAAGTTGGTTAGTACTCTGTTACGTGGCACTTTGTAATTGGTCGAGATATCTCACAGCTCAATTATAAGTTTAACTTTCTTCTTCGTTGTAATGTAATCGAGTTGCAGAAAAAAATGAAATGACATTCCTAAAAATATCTTAGAGCTCTAAGCTTCCATGGTATCAGAGCAAGCTAAAGAATGGCAAGAAATGCATAGCGAGGAAGAGAGACGACGATAATTACCAAGTATCGAGAGATTCTGATCGTCTCATGTTGAACGGGTCAGATCATCCAGGAATGGCGCTCGCCAGTAATTTGCTCCCCGGTTCGAATTATTTGAACTGGAGTCGTGCAATGAGATTAGCTCTTGGCGCTAAATCTAAGCTTGGTTTCATCTATAGATTGGTGGAAGTACCAGATGTAGATGTAGATTATGAGGATTATGAAAAGTGGACTTCATGGTGATCTCTTGGTTACTAAACCCCATCTAGAAAAAAATAGTTGAAGCATTCATTTTTATGAATAGTTCCTGATGAAGACGAACTCGCGATAGCTTTCTTGGAGAAATATGACCGGATTTTGGCTTTAGTTTAATTATTTACCTGCATCTTTATTATTATTATTATTCCTTATTTAGGTATTTAGTCGTTAGGGGAATATTTATCTTTATTGAATAAAGACTTGTCTAGCAAGTTAGGGAATTAAGAGGATTAAGACTCTATTTAATCTCTTTTTGGCGGCTTTAGCCTATCAGAGTTGATGAATTAGAAAATTATCTGCTTGAGATTTTATCTCTTTTCCTTATCGCTCAAGCTTCTCTACATCAGTTGGTATCCAAAGCCCAGTACGTTCCAAATGCCGCCGAGAAGAGAAACTGTAGATGATCACCGTGATGCCGCGATTGAATCCTTGACGCCACAAATTCGAAGGGTTGGGCCGACAATTTCAGGAAATCGGACGCGAGATGGCGGACCTTTCGGCAGGCATGGAGGACATACGTTTGGCTATCAAATGATGATGCAACGCGATCAAATGAAGCGCTACGGACTCAGAGGATGAGGCGACGATCGAGGAGGGTTTCAGGGTCGCTGGAGTCGCGGTCTGGGAGGCGTTGGTGGTAGACAGAAGCCGCGCTAGAGGAGGACGCTGACTCTGACGCCACGGAGTGAGAGGTTAACCCGTTCAGGCAGGACGTGGCACTGACAGCAGAGGACGCGAACGGAGTCCGACACTAGGAGGGTTCCTTTCGCGTCGTTATACCAGAATTTACGGGAGGAGTCGATGCTTCCAAGTTCCTCGACTCGGTGGCAGCGGTCGAAGCCGTGTTGGAGTTCAAAGATGTCACAGAGGAGAGGTAGGTGGGGCTCGTCGCAACATCCTTCGGGGACGTGCAGCGGCTTGCTGGCTGCAACTAAAGGGTTCTCGACATCTCATGGGTAAGTCCAAGATCACAACTTGGCCTAAATTTCGAAAATACATAGAGCAAGAGTTTTTGCCGTTCAATTATGTCCGTACTATGTATAAAAAATTGCAAAATCTTCAACAAGGGACGCGGTCGGTTAATGAATATACTGAGGATTTTTATAAGCTCTTTACAAGGATTGGTATTCGCGAAACAACGAACCGATTGGTGTCTCTATATATTGGCGAGTTGCATTTGGCAATTGGGGATACCTTAAATTTGTTCACGCCAGACACGATTTCAGATGCTCACCAGCGTGCCCTGCTCGTTGAGCAACAATTGGCTCGGCGGTCGAGTGCAGCTTTCTCCCCGGAAGCACGAGCAGAATCTTTTACCACACTGCAGCGGGCCAGGGCGGCCAGTCTAACTCCATGGGTCAGCTGACGGGCCGTAACAGCACATAGGGCCTGAGCGAAAATCCAGCAGCAACAAGCTCGTCTTCGGCAGACGCGGGCTTCATGGCATCGGCTGTGGCGGGAGGGAATCGGCCGGCCGGAGGACTGAGATGTTTTGCTTGTGGTGAGGTGGGCCACCGACAGTCTGTGTGTCCGTGGAAGGGCAGTTCGCGCGCCCTTATGGCCGGAACAAACGACGAGGTTCGCGAGGGCAACTTGTATGATGGCCCACCTATTTTTGACGAGGAACCAGCGGCACCAGAGGAACACTTGTTCGGCGATGTCAGTGATGCCCTTATTCTTCACCGCTCGTATTTATCGCCCAAGACCGAGTCTGAGGAATTTCGATTTTGTTGTCTTGGATGTGTTGTGACTGCAGGAGAAAAGGCTGAGGATTTGGGCGTTTCGGGCCAGCCCTCTGTAGACTATACTGATTCCTTTGCAAGAGGTGTTGTTATGGATCCTACGGACGACCACGAGATTTCGATGGTGGATTCTGGAGGTCAACGATATGCATTTCCAGTGTCTATTTTTTCTAAAACTGCACACCCGTATGAAATTCATGTTGTTCACAGTGGGAGGAGCTACCCTAATGACCCCGTGTCAGACGAGGCCGTGGATGGCATGACCTACGGGATCTCGGACGCTACACATAATTTTATAGAAGAGCTGGGCAGCCATTCTAGAGTATTGGTGATTCAAGTTTTGCTAGAAATATGGCTGGGATTTTGGTTGAATCTGGAACTCATGTTCAAAATGGTTTAAAAGGATTCTCCCCAGATGTGAAGTTTGCACAGGTAGAATTTGCTCCATACAAGAAACAACAATTTTGAGTGGAACCCAGCTGGATATGGAATCATGTGGAAGGCTTATAATTTTTCCATCTTTTTGCTCTCTCAGAATAGCACATTGACCTTGAAAGAGGTTGCCTTGAACAATGAGAAGAACAATAAATCTTATACTAACGTTATTTCTGAGTTTGACTTAGTTATGGGCGACAACTCCGATGAAGATGAGCTCGGTTCGGATTCGAGGGCAAATCCTTCTCAACCGGGAGATGATGATGAAGAAGAGCTCGCGATAGCTTTCTTGGAGAAATACGACCGAATTCCAGCTTTAGTTTAATTATTTACTTGCATCTTTATTATTATTATTATTATTATTATTCCTTATTTAGTTATTTAGTTGTTTGGGGAATATTTATCTGTATGGAATAAATACTTTTCTAGCACGTTCGGTAATTAAGAGGATTGGAACTCTATTTAATCTCTTCTTGGTGGCTTTAGCCGATCAGATTTGATGAAATAGAAAAATATCTGCTTGAGATTCTATCTCTTTTCCCTATCGTTCGAGTTGCACTACATCAGTTCCAAGCAGCTGTGGGATGAATTGGCAGAAAGGTATGGGGAGAGTAATGGTCCACTTCGCTACCAACTACAAAAGGAGATTGCGAACTTTGCGCAAGGTAATCTAACAGTTACTACTTATTATATGAAGTTAAAATGTCTCTGGGATGTGGGATGAGTATACCTGCTTGGTTTCACTACCTGATTGCAATTGTGATTGTGGTGCTGGAAAAGCTTATTGTGCCAATGACAAGGGGATTAAGGTCATGCAATTTCTTATGGGATTAAATGATGTGTTTGCTCCTGTTAAGAGTCAACCACATAGGATTTTGGTAGGCCACCTATTTTCAGATATCCACTATCAACTACTTTGTTGCTAGTTCACCGAATGTTACTTCACCATTTGCACATGTTCTCAAATCACACAAGTAATATATTTCACCAGTCATATTTCACCATATTGCACATGTTGCTAGATCACCCACTATCTAGGTACCATTTACCTTCAAATAACGTTTTCAGGATTGAACATGTGCAAAATATGTATGAGTTTTTACAACCTAAGTTTTTTGTTTATTCCCTTTTCTTCTTATCACTTCAGATTTTGAAACTTTCAAAGGTACTCCAAGATGGTTCCAATTTTTTACCTTCCTAGTGTAAAGGTCATGTCGCATTCTGTAGTATCTAGGTCTGGCCAATTATACCCCAATTAATGACATATAGGTACAAAACGGTTTGCCTGAACGTTCTTATGTTTCAGTTTTTCAGGAGAAGGATTTTCATTTACAGTGCTGGGAACGAACCTTGCATATTGTTCCTTCAAGAGTTTACATGTGGAGCAAGTACCTCCAGTATCTGTTTTCTTTGTGAAGCCAAGCCCAAGATGTTCATGCTTAGGTGTTGTTTTTGAGGTACTCTAATTGTCATTCTTGATTCCAATATATCCCACTCCAGTAAGATCACCATGTGACTTCCCAATATTGAGTAGCTTGTTCAAGTAAGTTGTTCCTTTGTTTAATTTATTCAAGGTTTGAGACATGCGTTCCAGTTCAATTGTTTTCTTTTTTGAACTCTTCTGATATTGAGATGCGTGCTCTCAGATTCACATGTTCGTTCATCATTTGTGAAAGTTCACCCCTTAGAGTATATTCATCTTTATCTTTGTCCCCTAACATTTTCTGCAAGGCAAAGTCCTCAAGGATTTAATGACTTCATGTTTTTCAATATCTGCATGTTATGACACTTTCAGGGCATTCTCAAGAAAGACAGTTCAAGATTTTGCTGCATCAAGTTCGACTTCCTTTGGATGAGTGAAGGAGGAAGTTCATTGGTTATTCAATGATCCATTGATTTCTTTCTTTTCATGAACTTCCTTTTTTAAGTATTCCAACTCTTCATTGAATTGAATACAGAAGTCTCTTTCTCTCTCTACAAAAGTCCCTTTCTCTCTCCCAAAGAAAAAAAAACCAAATCCCCTTTCCCGTCACCCCCCCTTAGCCTTCTACCAGGCATCAGCCCTCCGTTTCCGGCTTGGCTGAGGTTGGAGGATGCCTTTCTGCCCCAATTTCAGTCGTGCGTGGGTCGATTTTGTAGTGGCTCCCGGAGTTGCTGCGGCGTGGCTCTCGTGTGGGCTCGAGTTGGGGTCGTTGTGCGATTTTTTTTCACCCTCCGGCCTTGTGCCCGACCGGGAGGCTTCCCTTTGGCCACTTTATTGTTGTTCTGGTTGGAGGCTCCCGGAGGCTGAGCTTCATCTCTCGGCCTCGACGGCGGTAGTGCATCTCGTCGTCGCCTTTCTTCGCATATGCTTTTCTCTTCGGTGTGGATGTCCTATGAAGGCCAGATCTGAACTGAGAATTTACTCCTCGTCAGATATGTCTAGGTGACTCAAGTTTCGTCGCAGTTTTTGAGTCTGGGGTTTTGGTCTGATCCTCTCTTGGGCTTCTGTGCGGTAGACTTAGGCTTGTGTGCAGGTTCGGGCGACTGTGTGTTCTGCGTGATAGGTGTAGTGGAGGTTTTATTATTAGTATATGTTTTTAGGTGTGTGCTGTTTTTCTTACATTTATGTTTTTGTTGGTTTGTTAGTGCAGCTTTGTCTGTTTTCAGTGCAGCTTCGTCTGCTTTTAGTGCAGTTGTGTCTGCTTTTTGGAGTGCTGTTTTGTAGTTGTTTGTCTCCTTGATGGAGTTTGTACCCCTTGCGTGTGATGACAAGGGGGTTGGTCCAGTCTTCTGGTTCTAGTATGTCATTTGACACTTCGGTTGTACTATGTTGAGTTTTTTAAGTTATTATTATAATTGCCGTTTGA